GCAATCCCATGGACAGTAGCCTACCAGGCTCTTGCATCCATAGAATTTTCCAGGCAAGAGTACTGGAGTGGGTTGCCATTTCCCTCTTTCACAGATTGGATCCAGTAAATCTGCACACAGTTCTAGGAGGGCTTCGCAAACACTGCACTGCCACCCAGAGGCGGGGGCTCCTCTCCGAGCCCAGGATGTCCCCTGAGGCCAGGTTCCTCCCAGCTTCCCTCTGGACATCTCTTCCCACCTAACTGCTGGGGAAAAGCCCAGACGACTCCCAACTCCCGTTCCTTTTCAGCTCCTGAAAGTGCCCATCCCAGCTGGGTACCCCACCCCCACCCTCCAGGTCCTTATCGTCCACATAGAAGGACCCAGCACCTCGGCTCTGCGGGCCGCACCCCACCCCACCCCACCCCACCTCCGCCTGCCCAGGGGGTTTCCGGTGCCCTGGTGAATAATTTATCATTCACCTGCGAGCAGGGGGAGGCCACGTAAACACCTATAGGTACGGGGCTGGCAAGTACCCACGCCAGTGTCTGTCTTTCAGCCTGGTAAACCGTTGCCCTGATGTAATCCGGGATAAATTACCCTCACGGAGGTGGCCAAGCTGCTCACGGACCGCCACCCGCATGAGCAGCAAGGCTGCAGGTATTCAGGCTCCAGCCGCGACGATTCTGAGCAGGTTGCTCCTTTCTTTAACACAGGAGGAAGAAGATCCATTTCTAAAAGTCATGGCGTGCAAGCCCGAGTCCAGGCATCCCAAAGACATGGGTCTGCAGGTTCCCAACCGCAGCCCCGGGTGCAGGCAGCCTGAGGCTCCACAGGTCCCGCCTCAGAGGCTGCTCCTCACCTCTGGCCCCAGGCCCTAACGCGGACCCCTGGGGTCCCACCAGGAGCCCAATGCCCACACCACAGGTTGAACACCGCCATGCCTCCTGAGACACATGTAGGAGGTGAGGCCATCACACCCCTTCCCCACCCCAAGAGCATGCAGGAGCAGGGAAGTGACCCCAGCTCCACCAATCACAGCTCGTGTGGCCTGGGGCCCGTGAGCCTCACTCACTGTGCCTCAGTTTCCACATCTATGAAATGAGGATAATGATCCAGTGCAAGGACTGTGATGAGGAGTGGGCTTCCTGGGTGGCTCAGCTGGTAAAGAATCAGCCTGCCATGTGAGAGACCTGGGTTCAGTCCCTGGGTCGGGAAGATCCCCTGGAGGAGGACATGGCAACCCACTCCAGTATTGACGAGTCAGTGCCCGGACAAGACATTAAGGACAGTGGGATCGTGTGCGTCTCACTCGAGTTTGCCATTGTTATTAGTGTTATTCAAGTTCATTCAACCACTTCCCACAATAGGACAGACACACTCAGTCTTCTTGGAGTGAAAATTGCAGTTTTTCCTTCCGCCACGTGGAAGGGTCTGAGATGTGTGGCTTGGGCACTGGGCTGCAGGTGACTCCGGGCAGGCTGGTGGGAGTCTGCAAACCCTAGTGAGCCTCCTCGGCCCACGGGCAGCCCTCACTCCTGTGGCGTTTAGGATGTGGAAACCCCATCAGGACAGTATGGTTGGCACACCACCACCCCCAGCAGAGGGGTGGGCGCTGAGGAGGCCTAACGGGTCCTGGGGTGAGGACAAAACCCGAGCTTGAAGCCCCGACTGCAGGCTTCTGCCCACAGTGGGATCTATTTCATTACCCCAAACACTCCCTAAAGGGGCAGAAATCAGATGTTTTTTAAAACCCAAGCCCCCAGGGATGGGGAGAGCAGGACAGGGACAGAGCGCCCGCAGATGGTAAAAGCCCAGACCCCTCCAGGCCTCCCGGGCCCCGGGCGCCTTTGTGCCACACGCGTGAAGCCCAGCCCAGGGCAGGGAGGGGGTGGGGCTCACACAACACCCCTCGGGGCCACACGGTGGCTAGGCCGCCAGCAGGGAGGTGGCAAAGCCGGGCGCCTGCCCCAGCCAGCGCGGCCTCTCATTGAGGACACCCGCCACTGATCGGCCGAGTCTCCTCCTTCTGGGCCGCTGTGGTCAGCACTGGGGCTGGGCTCCAGAAGGAGGAAGCGGCCTGGGATCGTCTCAGGGGACGCGCTGTCTTCCCCTGGGGAAGTGGGTGGCGGAAGGCTGGGACACCCACGGCGCACGCCTGCACCCGGCCCAGGGCACGGCACGCTGTGTTAACTCGCTCAGTCGTGTCCGAGTCTCTGCGACCCACGGACTGTAGCCCCCCAGGCTCCTCTGTCCATGCGATCCTCCAGGCAAGAACACTGAACGGGTTGCTGTGCCCTCCTCCAGGGGATCTTCCCGACCCAGGGATTGAACCTGCATCTCCTACTTCTCCTGCATCGGCAGGAGGGTTCTTCACCACGAGGGCCGTCTGGGAAGCCCGCACATCACACAGTGAGCACTTCAGGGAGTTTCCTGGGGTAGCTTAGACAACAGAAGGACGTCTCACAGTCTGAGACCAGAACTCCAAGACCAAGGTGTGCGGGGGCTGGACCTTCTGAGGCCTCCGTCCACAGCTCCCCCGTGGCCGTCTCCACCCCGTGTCTTCCCTCTGTGCGTCTGGGTGCCCACCCCCTCTCCTTCCGAGGACACCAGTCAGACAGGACTCTCATGCCCTCACTTGAACTGAATTAGCTCTTCAAATGCCCCGTCTCTAAATACAGTCACACCCTCAGGGTCTGGGGGTTAGGACACGTGTGTTTTGGAGAGGACATAATTCAGCCCATAAGCGCACTCCATACCCGTCTGCTGGGTGGGTGACGATGATGACATGATGAAAAACAGTCCCCGTGAGCGGACACTCAGCATATGCCTGACCCCCTGGCTAGGCACCTTATACACCTCACTCCTTGTCTCCTCAAGTCTTGAAGAGGTGGTACCAACCCTCTTTCCAGATGAGCAAATCAAAGTTCACAGAGGATCAGTTTACCGAAGGTCACTACCAGGAAGCAGAGCCCAGACAAAGCCAGGCCTCTCTGACGGCAGTGCCAGTCTGCTATCCACCACGCTGGGGTGCCAACCACGCCAGGATACCTGCAGAACTACCCACTACCACAGCCTAGCACTGTTTCACTTTTATATCCTTCACAACATCTGGTGTGATCTTCGTAACAATTGTGCAAGATGGGCATTTTTTTCCTTTTTCACCAATGAGCGAATTAAGGCCAGGGAGATAAAATCAGTTGACTAACTGCTTGGAAGATAGATGGAAGGATAGTGGATGGGTGGGTGGTTGGATGGCAGGATAGATGGATTATTGGATAACAGATGGATGACTGGGTGGATGGTGGATGGAGGGATGGTGGATGGAGGGATGGTGGATAGATAGTGGATTGATGGATGGGCGGATGGTGGTTGGATGGTGAGTGGCGGTTGGATGGGTAGTGGTTGGATGGATAATGGATGGATAGGTGGATGGGTGGTGAATGGTGGGTCCTTGAATGGATGAGTGAATGAGTAGATGTGTGGGTGGATGGATGGGTGGATGGGTGGTGGTTGGATGGATAGTGGAAGGATGGTGGATGGGTGGGCGGGTGAATGGGTGGATGGATGGGTGGATATGTGCCCCATCAGATTCAGACCCCAGGCCACCACGGATGGCAGGGCAGACCCACTGAGATGAGGCCGACAGCACCCCTGACTAGCCTGGGTCAGTGCTCCTGGTTCAGCAAGTCTTCTTGGACACGGCATCACAAACAGCTCTGACACAGCCCAATCATTTCAACAACACGTGTAAATATCCAGATAAGGGCCACGCTACAATTTAGGCGCCCTGGAAGAAAACAGCCCTTACGTGTTCACAAGGGGGTCCAGCTCACCAGGCACACAGACGGCAGCAGTGTGCCCCGGGTCACGAGCACCAGTTGAGTCAGAAGGCTGCTCCTGAAGAAGCAGAAGACACCCCCGGCTGGACTCGCGTCTGCTGAAGGAGGCCTCTGACCAGGCTGAGTGAAATAAACGTCCGCGAAACCGCAAAGCTGCTGGTGTGATGACGGCAGGAAGCAGACGAACCGCGTCCCCACGACGTCCCAGCAGCCAGAGCAGGGCCCGGCCCGGGGCTGGCAGCAAGAGCGTTTGCAGAAAGACAGAGGGAGGCAGCGACCAGCCTGCTCCGCTGCATGCCCCAGCCCCTACCCCCACCCGTGACCCTGTCTTGAGCACCCCCATTCTCTGCAGGGTGGGCACCACGCAGGGCATCTCCTTCAGCCCCAGGGTGACGGGGACAGCAAAGACGGGTCTCACAACCCGGCTCTAAGTGGCATTACAGCTGCCCAGACCCCTTCAGCGGGATGAATCGGACTCCTGCCTGGTCCTACACCAGGCTCTGGAATTGCACGTGTGGCCAGACGTGGGTCATGGCTGCCGAACAGCCCAGGCGCACCTCATCAGAGACGAGGAACTACGGGGGGAAGAAAACCGCATCTGTGGCATCTTGGACTCAGTTCTCGAACTTTTCCTCCGACCTCAGTTACACGAGTGCCTGCATGATCCCGTCTCAGGTCTCCCCCACGCCCGGCAGCCCCGGCCCAGAAGCCCTTGACTTGGCTCCTCTCTGACTCTCTCCCCCGGCCGCCGGCCCAGAACCTGGCAGTAAATAAACGTATGAGGTTCAACGAGTAGCTCGTGAAAGTACAGGATGAATTTTGTGAAATTTATCACCAGCATATAAGGCCTCAAGGGCAAAAACTGGGCATTTTCCTTCTCGAAATCACCATAGTTTGATGTAGTGCTTGAAACTTGACACTCCATAAATGTTTAGATTCTGAATTTAATTTAAATTTAACTGACTGGCCTCGTAAAGGAAGGGAGGAGATATTACTCATAACTGAAAAAAAATTAGAAAAAAATTTTTAACAAAAACTCAAGAGCCCCTGGCTAAGCAGCTGAGAGGGGACATCTGGAGGGGAGGGTTTCCATAATTCATGTCTTAAAGAGCCAGGCTCGCCATCTCCTCCGCGTGCTCATGTTTAACTAAATGGTGAAGGATTAGCATCTGCTCACAGAAGCGGGCCTGGCCGCTTGGCTCTGGGAAACAGACACCGCTCGGCAAGAGGCTCCAAGAAGCTCCAACATCCGCCAGAAACGGGACAGGGCTGAGCAGGACCGTCAGGCTGGGGGCGGGGGTCGCGGCGGCGTTCTGGGCCACGACGCGAGTGGACCCGCGAGGAGCGAGAGCCGGGCCGCCCGGGGCGGACACGGCGGAGGCCCTCCCAGCTCCACTGTGCCTGTGGGGTGGGGGCACAGGTAAGCGTGGGCACAGATGCCTGCGTGGGCTTCGCAGGAGGCTCGGCGGCGAAGAACCAGCCTGCCCGTGCAGGAGACGTAAGAGAGGCCGGTTCGATCCCTGGGTCGGGAAGGTCCCCCGAAGAAGGAAACGGCAGCCCTCTCCAGGACTCTTGCCTGGAGAATCCCATGGACGGAGGAGCCTGGTGGGCTACTGTCCACAGTGTCGCAAAGAGTCGGACATGACTGAGCGTGCACAGGTGTGTATGTAGATGTGTTTAAGCGTGTGCACCTCTGTGTGCACGTCTGGGCAAGGCCGTGGTGTGTGCACGTGTGTACAGAGCCAGCGCTGAGCTTCTCACCCACGTTGAGCCGGCAGTGCTGTGGGCCCCCTCTATCCCAGCAAGACTGGCCTGGGAGGGCTTCATCCAGAGAAGCGGCCGAAATGTGGGATGGACAGGCTTCGAAGGGACAGCCCAGAGGAGGAAGGAAGGAACCACTTCCACACACCTGTTTTCTGTAAACGGGCAAATTGCAGTGTAAAAGCTACCGAGACCAAGTTCAGAAGACTCTGACTGGCCCATCGTCAGACGACTGGGCGCTGGGATTCCAATGGACTTCCCTTCCCCTCTTCGCTCCCCCGCGTCGCCTCTGTTCCTGTGATGAGTGTGGGGTGCTTGAGTTGCTTGCTAAGGTCCCAGGGGTCACCGATCATCGGACGAGCCCAGCTGGAAAGGTCTCAGGAGCACCGGCCGTGGGGGGCCGGGGGCCCAGGGCGCCAGTGTTTAACGAGTGCCTGCTTGACAGGGGCTGCGGCAGCCTCTCCTCCCTGGGACCCAGCACGGGGCGGTCAGAGCAGAAGCGCGGGGCAGCCGCGGCCCCCAAGGCCACACGGGCAGGTGGGGCAGCAGCTGGACTCGGGCAGGTCTGGCTCCCAGCCTGGCCCCTCGGCAGGGCCCCGGGAGGCTCCAGAAGCCGGGGGTCAGCCCCCGGGGGTCGAGGCATTAAGAGGTGGGTGGGGCTAACGACGATCCTACATGCAGGGCACCGAATGGGACTCGGATGCAAAGAACAGACTTCTGGACTCTGCGGGAGACGGCGAGGGTGGGATGATTGGAGAGGATGGCATTGAAACACGGACATTACCACATGTAAAGCAGACGGCCAGCTCAAGGTGGATGCATGAAGCGGGGCACCCAAGCCAGTGCTCTGGGGCAACCTGGGGATGGGGTGGGGAGGAAGGTGGAGAAGGTGTGGGGTTCAGGAGTGGAGGACACGTGTATACCTGCGGCTGACTCACACTGATGTGTGGCAAAAAACCATCACAATAGAATAAAGGAATTATCCTCCAATTAAAATCAATTAACTTTAAAAAATAATAAATAAAGAAGAAGGGGAGCGGGGTCCAGGCTCGCCAGCGGCCCCTCCGTGTGAGTGCCCAGACCCCCGACAGGCTCCTGCCTGCCTGCACGGCTGCTCAGGCGCAGGCAGTGGGCCCACCAGGAGCCCCAAGCCGGACACGGGCCTTGAACTCCTCCCAGAAGAGCCCTGACATCCTCTCTCACAGATGCCCACGGACTCCCAGGGTCTCCCCAGGGGTGGATCGGCTGCCAGGCAGGCACCCCGCGGGAGATGAGGGAAACAGGCTGAGAGGGCAGAGCGCCTGGGGCTGCTCAGGGGGACCCCAAGGCCGTCGGGGTTCAGTCGCGGGCCCTGGGGGCCCCGAGCTCGCCTTCCTTCGCTTCTTCCGCACGGCCTCCCACCGGCACATCCTCATCTTCTCCTCAGCCGACCTTCCCCGAGGCTCCACCTCACAGACACGATGCAGACCACAGGGCCTGGGTTGTAATATCTGATGAAAATGTCATGGATGGCGTAGGAGTCTCGGAGAGTCAAGTTGCAGAAACCTTTGTCTCCATTGAGTCAGAAAATAAAAAATAAGCAGGCTGCTCCCTGTGGCTCTGCAATCCAAACACCATAAATTCCAAAGACTACAGAGGGCCCATGGCAGGCCCCTTCCCTGCCCGCCTGATGACTGCAGACGGCCTCTGATTCCATCTCGTGTCTGCAGCCGGCGAATCAAACATTCAGACCGTGTGTGCTGGCTGCTCAGGCCCGGCCGGCCCGCAGCTGCACTGCCCCCAAACGGGAAGGCAGGATGACAAAGGAATCAAAGTGAAATAAATGCCAGATAAATGTGGATGTGTCACTTTAAAAATTCATAAATACCAACACCCTCTGCAATTTATTTGGGTTTAACCAGTGAACAGACCCATCTAACTTCCTGAGACACCACCGAATCGTGAATTTTTGAGAAATCCCATTTCCTGGTTTCCCAGTGTGTGAGGTTCCTGGAGGCGGGAGCCCCAAGCCTGCACCAGGACCCAGGAGTCCCACTCAAGCCTGAGCTCTGCCCTGCTCCCCACCCCGAGGCTCTGGACATCGGCTGTGCCGGGCACGCCCTGGGCCGCCTGTGAACACGCCAGACCTCAGTTTCTCCATCTGTGTTGTGGGGGGGACCACGGGGGCCTTGACCACAGCCACACAAGTGCCCACATGGCACAGAGCTGGGGGGTGGGCATCACAACAGCGTGATGCTCTGCCCCCAGGTACCTCTGTTTATCTTCTGTAAGATGGACAATCACGGTCCCCAAGAGCTGCCTGCTGGACCCATGGACCACCCCTGGGCAGGGGTGAGGGGGAAGCATGGACCAAACAGGGTGAAGTCAGGGGTAACAATTCTGGAAATTCCTTCTTATTCTGCAAAAAATAGAGCCAAGTGTGGGGCCCAGAGGGAAAGACACCAGACCCCAATATCCTCCGGCCAGAGTCACAGTGGAAAGTGGAGGGCCGGCCTCGCCAAGTGGGGGCCCAGAGGGAACAATGCCAGACCCCAACATCCTCCGGCCAGCATCACAGTGGAAGGTGGAGGGCCAGCCTCGGGGGTGCTGGGGCAGGTACCATGCAAGCAGTGACGTCTGGGGGAGCCAGAGCCTGTTCCCGGACACGTGGCCCCCGTGGGTCAGCGCCGCCCTCCGCAGCCACGACGGGAGCACTGCGTGTGCAGGACGCCAGGGGCAGAGGGCGATTACAGCACCTGATGCGGGGTGGAAGGCTCAGCCTCTGCGCAGCACTCAGGGAGCTGCCGCTGGCTGCTGGCAGGTGGAGGGGGTACCCAGAGGGCCCGGGGGGAACACGGAGGCCCAGGACCCCCGCAGCGACAGGCACTTATGGGGCCAGATGCAGACAAAAGGCCAGGGTCCGGTCAGGCTGGACGCCAGGATGCCTGGCTGGTCGGGAGGTGTGCAGGCCTGGGGGGCACACCACAGTGGTCCGCCGTGAAGCCCCTCGCCCTCTCTGGACTCATCCGTCCACAGTGTTCCCACAGAACTGGGCTCCACCTTCGGGGAAGCCGTGCAAGGGGCAGAGCGAGGCTGGCTGCTCACCTGGCGGGTGGGCAGGTGCCCCCCACCTCGGAGCAGATGGTGGGAGGGGCTCTGAGAAGTGCTGGCCATGCTCTGCCCCCAGGCACCCCCATTTATCTTCTGTAAGAGGGATAATCACAGCCCCCAAGAGCTGCCTGCTGGCTCTGTGGACACTGGCCTGGCCAGCTGCTTAGCAACAGGATCACCAGTCCCATGTACACATGCCTGCTCCCCACCACCCCATGAGCTCAGAGCCTGGAGCAGGGTCCACACTGTCCAGCATCCCTGAGGGGTCTTCAGTCCACAGAAGGGGCGAGTCCTGCCCCTCCTCAACCCAGGAGAGCTGAGGACGGTGTGGGACTCGGGTCCCTGTGGTCCAGCTGGAGCAGGGGCCCCTCACCGCCCTCCCTGCGATGTCCGTCGCTGGGCAGATGGGGCACCCGGACTCCCCCGCTCCCCAGAGTCAGCCCGAGACAGCTGTGGGCCCAGCACGGACCCCGCCAACAGGGGTGTCCTGTGCCTGACAAGGATGTCCACTCTGGCCCTGGTCCAGCTGCTCGGGAGGTCAGAGGATGGAACCCCACAGCCTGGGCCAGGCCCGCTCGCTCACGCCCTTGCAGACGCCGTGGCCACTGGGTCTGCTCCAAACGGACGGGGATAGGCTCACCTTGTGGCAAAATGTGTGCCTCTGCACCCGCAACCCCTTCCCAGAGACGCAGAGCCTGGTGTCAGCCCCCGCCCCCGGCCCAACCCGCCTGAGGGCACGATCTGCTACCCCAGCCTGGCATCAGCCCCCATCCCCAGCCAGGCCCGCCCGAGGGCACGATTTGCTACCCCAGCCTGACCACACGCGGAGTCACCTGTCAGCCTGCCTGGGTCTGGCTCTGTGTTTCCTCCAAGAAGCGGCTCCAGGTCTCTAGGGGACAATGTGGAGGTTGCGGGCCTGGAGTACTGTGGCCCCGGCAGTCACCCCCAGCACAAGGGGGGCTCTGTCATGGGGTCCCCGTGTTTGGGCCATGACGCAGTGACCACTGGACAGATGTCCAGTCTCGCAGCAACAGGTTCTGCCCAGCTGGCAGGCTCAGCCCTGCTGGAGTCTGTGGCCAGTGACAGCTGGGCCTGGCCCGGGGGCTCTGGAGGCCCCACGGTGCCCGGCTTCCTCCAGCTTCTGAGGGTTCCCCGCTGTGGGTGTGGAAAGGCTCTGGGCCCGAGGCTGCAGCCGGGTCGGGACAGGGGTGGAGGCCCCTCAGGCCAGCGCCAGCCTGGGTCACCGTCCGCCTGGCCCCGGGTGGCTGGCCGCTCCCCTGCTGGCCCCCGTGTGCCTCTGCCCTTCCCGTCCCCGGGGCGGGGACGCTGCTGACCTGCGGCTCCTCCCCCGCCTGTCTCTGCCCCGCGGGCTGGGGGCTGGCATGCCTCCCCGGCAGCGGGCCCCATGCTGAGGCTGCCTAGGGCACCGAGGCGGCCGCCAGGCCGTCACGCTGCATCGCTGACGGTTGACGTCACACTGCAGTCCACGGGGAGGGCCCGCCACCCCCGGGGCCTCAGCGGGGCCTCCCCTCGCCCCGGAGGCAGGTTGGGGGCGTCCAGGGCACTTGTGTGTTACTGACGCGTGACCCGAGGTCCAGAGAGGACAGAGAGCGAGGACAGGGCAGGGCCTGGTCATCTAAGAGCCCAGCACCTCTCACGGGGCCTGGCCCGGCCTCCCTCCCCACAGCCCTCCCCGACACACACAGGCACACGTGTGCACACACGGGCACGCACACGCACACAGACGTGTGCTCACATATGCACACTCATGCACACATCCCAGCTCCGCTAGGGATGGGTTTCCTGCTCAGAAACGAGTTCCTCCTGGTATGAGTGGACGAAACCTACACTGCATGCTCCAGAACCCAGTGACGAGGTGCTCCCAGGCCCCTGGGGGATGGGCCTGCGCGCATCACCGTGCTGAGGGTTTGACCCTCTTGGTACCTGGGCAGCCAGACGGGGGTGTGAGGCCGCGCCATCTAGTGGGCACAGTGGGTACTGCAAGGTGTGTGTTGGGAGGGACGAGAGTGAAGCCACAGACCCACCTTCGCCCAGGACACAGGGCTCTGGCGTCCCCCTCCGTGGCATGGGCTGGACCCCAAGGACAGAGGCAGCCGCGTACAAGGCCCTGAGAAGTGCCATGGTCCAGCGGCTGGCACACGAGCCTCGAAACCAAAGAACATGTGGCCCGAGTTCTGCAGAGCCGCGCAGGGTGGCCCACCCGAGCTCTCACGCCCACGACTGCTCCACGGAGAGAACACGGCCTTGAGCCCCGGCGGCCCCATCTCGGCCCAGCGGCTGCGGGGCTGCGGGCGGCCGGAGCCTCTGACAGCCACGTGGGGAGGGTGTCCACCTTCGCCGCGAGACGCCAGCCGCCTTTCCAGGCCCTCACTCGCCGCGATGACGGCCCAGAGTGGGGTCCCACACATGTCAGCACAGGCGGTGCCCTCGCCGGGGTCTGGGATGCCCCCCATCCACTCAGGCCCTCCCTCTCTCTGTGAATGCAAGCTCGCCTTTCAGACGCCATGGCCAGGATCATACTACATGCCGCCCAGCACTCCGCAGGGACTTCAGCCGTGGGGCAGGCCAGCGTCTCGTGAGCACCAGTGGGCTCAGAATGAAAGATGTGGAGGGGACAGGCTGGTCATCTTCGCCTTCAGACGCTGAAAGCCACCTGTCATGCTGGTGGAGACAGAGATGTGACCCCAGCAGACCCTGGAGACAGCCGCCCGCCTGGCCCCAGACCCCCGCTGTCAGACACCCGGTCTCGTGACTGGGCAGGGGCAGGAGACTTTCAGGGGAGAAAGTGGAGAGCTGCTTTCTTCATGCACCCCGTCTCCTGAGGGCCTGCACACGTGTGCGTGTGCGCCTGTGTGTGCATGCACGTGCGTGCACTCAGCGTGTGTGCCCGTGTGCACTATGCTCGCTGCACGCATGTGTGCGTCTGCGTGTACCCATGAACACGGGAATGTCTGGGCGGCTCCGGGTGGAGGCCCAGCACTCTGCCCGCGGGCTCAAGCCTGTGAGGGCCAGCGGGCTCTCACTCCATCCTCTCAACTGCAGCCCAGCCCGACTCTGACCCCAGCAGGACAGGAGCCCCACGTGAACCTCCCACCCCCACCCCGGCCCCGCCTGACTCAGGGGCAGCTGCTCGAGGGCAGCGTGGGTGTCTGGCAGTGAGGGGGTGAGGGTCTGCTTGCCCACCTTCTCCAGAGACCACCCCCACGCCATCCGCACAGCCCTCCCCACAGGAGCCTCTCCTTGTGGTCACCGTGGAGCAAGGACCCACCCCACGTGTGCCCACCACCCCCGTGGCCGCGCAGACTCCCGCCGTCTCGCGGGCGGCGCTTCCTGCTGAGTGGGCTCCCGTGCTTCCCATGGGCAGTGGTCCGGGGGATCCAGAACACCACGCTGACCCCGCGGCACAGCGCCAAGCCCCCCAGAGCCGCCGGCCTGGACCGTGCCCTGCTGCCGCACCCCCAGAAGTGGACTCTGCCACCCGCGTCCCCGCCAGGCCCTCACCCTCTCTTTCCCTACGGCTGGCTTCTGACATGAACGATAGGTTGAAGAGGAATGAAGCTCGTATTCTAGAACATGCCCTGCGCTGACTGTGTAAATAAAACTGCAGAATCACAAAAAATCAGAAGAATTGGCGGCACCCACTGTCTCATTTCTCACCTCCCCCTCGCTCCGCGCCCACTCCCATCTGGCTTCCAGATTCCAAGGCGCTTCCGCCCCCAGAAGCTCCGCCCCCCACTCCCCAGGACCTCCCTGCCTGGGGACAGGCAGGCCGGGTAAGCACTGGCCACTGCTCCCTAGGAGCCGCCCCTGGGCACCCTCGACCTCCTGGCCCCGTCCCCAGGAGCTGCTCCTCTCCAGCCCCTCACCCTCTTTGGCCCCGGTGCCCACTCTGCTGCCCACCACAGCTGGGGTCCCACCTGGGCCATCAGCTCGGGCCCCCCCTGCAGCCACGAGAACCAGGGGTCCAGGCACCACCTCCTGTCACGCATCCACCAGCAAGGCCCCGAGCCACCCCCCGCCACCAGTCCAGGCTGCCGCCCCTCTCCTGGATCCCCTGTGCCCACCCACCTGCCCGCCCCCCCACGGAGCCACAAAACTCTCAGGGCTGCTCCCTCTTCTTAAGACAGCCTGACCCCAGCCTCGGGGTAAAGAATCCGCCTGAACACAGGAGACATAAGAGACTGGGCTCAGTCCGTGGGCAAGGCAGCCCACCCCAGTGCTCTTGCCTGAGAATCCCATGGACACAGGAGCCTGGGGGCTACAGTCCCCGGGGCCAGAGTTGGACACGACGGAGCGACTGAGCGTGGCCGCTGCAGACACCCCCCTTCCCAGGCCTGACCCTGCTCTCAGCGCCCTGGTAGGGCTTCAGTCCCACTGACCACTCACCACTGTCAGACTCTGTCCACGACGTCCCCTCCGCCCTCCCCCCACGTTTGACGTGTCTCATCCTTCAAATGTCAGAGGCAGTCACCCCCAAGGAGGTGCTCTGCCTCCCGGAACTGGCAGCCGCTCCTGGGACGTGGGCTCTGTCTGTGAAGGGGTGGCATCCAGTGTCTGGGGCCTATAGGGCCCCTTGGGCAGGGACCAACCACGCCTGGGGTCTTCTCTGCTGTGTCCCGGCCCCACCCGCAACCAGCACACCTGTGCTGGGCAGACCCCTTCCAGCCTGCAAACGGACGGCCCTCCCAGGGGACAAACCTGCCGGGACTCAAAGGGCCTTCATCTCGCTATCGGGCAGGAATGGCTGGGAGACTATTTGAGGATAGGCCCCTTGGTAAAGGCACCCAGGACTCCACACTAGGAAGGAGGGGCCCTGCAAACTCACCCAGGTTTATTTTCTTGTCCATCACAGCCCCAAAACATCTCCTCCTTTTGTTTAAACAGTGACTTCCTACCGCCCCTGCCCTGCAGAGCTGTGTTCCAGGCCAGCAGGCATTTTGGGTCCTGCACCCCTTGGCACCCCATACATGTTTGTTGACGGACTAAAGGAAAGACTTCCAGGCCTGTGGACGGTGGCGGCCCCAGGATACCCCTCCCTCGGGCTTGCCCTCGAGGGTCAGGCCCTGGAGCTCCCCTGGGCCCCCTCCTGGACCTGCTGGGCTGCCAGGAGCCCCCACAGGGGGGTTGACCTCAAAGTTCTTCCCCCCATGCGATCCCACTCAGCCCGGAGCACCGCCCCACGAGGGCGTGGAGTCTGAGCCCTGGACTAAATCAGAGAGAAGCTGCAGGGATTTAGGAGACTCAGCAAGGTCGCCTGAGGGAGCAGAAGTCAACCTGGCGGCCTGGAGCCCAGGCTGGGCTCCCGGGGGGGCTCGCCGCCTCCATGGCCAGGGTGCCGATTTGTGCTGGAGAAGGTGTCCGGAGCGCCGACCGTTTCCATTCCCCTCTCCCCGAACCTGGGCAGATGCTCCTCCCGCTGCAGAGATTAGCCGCCTTGAACCACAGTGCAATCAGAGCTGTCTTCTGCAGAGTGGGCCAGCCCGGGGCGGGGGAGACACCGTGAGGCTTCTCCTTACACCTACCCGCCCCATAAGCAAAGGCATGACTTCACAAAGGAAGCGATACCAGCCAGGTTGGGGCTGAGTCTGGGCCGGGATCAGCGCTGGGTCTGGGACTAGGGTCGGAAGCAAGGAGGGCTCAGCCTGAGACCAGCGTCAGGGCTGAGTCTGGGGGAAGGACGGGGCTCAGCGAGAGCCCGGCAGCTGAGAGGAGAGACGGGATTTCTTCCCCGAAACGCCGGAGGCACGTGATCCTCCGCGGTGCTGGGAGAAGCGAGGTACCGGCGGCAGCTGCCCGATGCGATCCCCCATAAAGCCGTAAAACAGAAACTGACTTTGAAATGGCCCTTTCTCCGCCGGTATCCTCGGACATAAATTTAAATAAAACGGCAATTTAAATGCCTGCGACACTGAGGAGGCGGCGTGGGGCCGTCTCTCCGGGCTGCGTGGGAGACAAAATGCCGCCCGAAAGCCATCCTGCTGAGCCACGCGGGGGAAGGTCGGCGCGGGGGCAGCGGGGAGGGGAGCGGCCGGCGGACAGAGCGGACACCCGGGACTGACGCCCCGCCCCCTGCCGGGCCCTGCTCCCCAGGGCGGAGGGCATGCTGGGCCCCCGAGGGAGGGGCTGCGCCTCTGTCCCCATGGGAAACGGTGACACACACCACATCTATCTGTTTGCTCTTGTGATGCAGAGCCCTAAGCGGGCTCCCACCCACAGTGAGCACTCGCGAATGCCCGCGGGTCCCTGCCGGGCGGCTGATACAACCTGTGAGGGTTGCCCTTCTCAAACCCACGAGTGCGGAGGAAGCCCCAGAGTACCGGCTCTGCCCTGGGTCCTGAGCCTGCAGGCCCGGGAGGGGCCTGGGAACGTGCATTTCTGACCCCTTTGCAGATGATGCTGCGGGTGCGGGGCCCACCTCTGAGAGCCCGGTGCTAGAGAAAGCTCACCCAGGCCGTGGGCGGGGTGGGGGGTCGTGAGTAGCGAGCAGGAGTGAAGCAGGACAAGGTGAAGTGTCTCCCTTGGTCCAGGCCGGAGACCATTCTGCCTGGGTGGGAGCAGAGAGGGGAGTGGCCGCCACGCCTCCGTCCTACCAGCCCCCCCAGCCCCGCCCACAGAGCCCTCCTCGGGCAGGGTGCCGTGTGCCCACAGCGCTGGGCGGGGCACCCAAATCAACGCCTCCTGCCCGCGTGCGCCTCCCTCACCATCGCAGCCTGGACACACCACCTCACTTACGGGCGGACGCACAGGCCTCAGGAGGACCGAGACCCAGCGAGCGCGTCCTCCTGGCCGGCAAGCAGCAGCCGCTTGGCACACCCGGAGTGTGAGCTTCCTTCCCGAGCCCGGAGCCCGTCCTTCTCCCTGCAGACGCAGAGGCCGAACTTCCAGTCAGGTCCCAAGGCCGAGGCCCGGTGTTGGCGGGAGTGAGCCAGACCCACGGCGCCCTTCATCTGGTCCCGACAGGACTAGCAGCTCTCACAGCCTCCGGCCTCCGGATGGACAGTCTGCCCGGCCCGCCCCCGGAGCAGCCCAGAGGAGGAAAGCCTTCAGGACACAGGCTGCGGGGCGCTACTTGGCTCCTAAGAGCAGCCTCTGCCAGGCGCGCAGCCTGGAGCGCACCTGCCGAGGCAAAGCCCAAGGTAAGGAGGTTGGTTACAGTGATGAGCTCCCGGGGCCTGAAGGGGAAGGACTAGGGGGTGGTCTGGTGACCTGGGTGGGACAGCAGGAGCCAGCTGTCAGGAGGGGCTGTGGGCTGGCACAGGACAGGCACGATCCAGGAACCGAACACGCCAGCAAAGAGCAAGAAAGCACAGAGCCCCTCATGGAGCAGTGATGTGTGCTCACAGGGGTGTGCTCAGGTGTGTGCTCAGGTGTGTGCTCACAGGGTGTGCACTCAGGTGTGTGCTCAGGTGTAGGAGGAAAGGACTCAAGGGTTTTGCAAATAAGAGGGCCCTCCTGGTCTGCAAGCAGAATCGATGGTCAGAAACTAGCTGGGGCAGGGCTCAGGGGCTCTGCCTGGATCAGGGAGCAGTGACCAGCTGGCGGCCTTGCTGGTCCCGGCTCACAGTCAAGGTCATTCTCCAGGCTGGATGCAGAGCTCTGCATCGCTGGAGTCCAGGCGGAGCACAGGTGGGGGCAGAGCCCGAGCGGAGGCCGCTGGGAGGCAGAGGAGCCAGCAGGACTCAGCAGGGAGCGCCAGAGCAGAGCGCAGGCTCGGGGCCCACGTGGTGGAGGCGGGGCACAGGTGGTGTTCCCAGGCGGGCGTGCACACCGCCGATCCCCCTCTTTCCGGGCCAGGCCCCTTGTCTACAGTCTGGGCGCCGTCACTCGGACCCCTCCCAGCCCGAGGTCAGTCCAGTGAGGGGCTTGGCAGTGGGCCAGGCTTCTCTGGTCCCACGTCCCGCTTCCACCAGCCTCCAGCAGACCCAGGGGCCCCCACCGGTCCCCACTGACCACCCATTAGCCGAGATGGGTCCCCATCTAGATCCATTCTACATCACCACCGGCCCTGACCTGCTTCGTTCTCTCCACGCCCTTCTGCCAACCCAAGTGAGGGACCCCCAACCCTGCGACACACACCCCCACTGCAACGAGGGACCCCCAACCCTGCAACACCCCCCCACTCCAGAATGAGACAGATGGTGCGACTTTCGATGGTGACCCCAGGTCACCGCCGGAGCAGAAGAGGCAAAGCTGGCACCTGACTTCCTTTGCCAGGTTCTCCTCGATCGCCTTGGAGAAGAGACTGGTCCCGGGCGGAGCGGGGCGAGCTCCAGCCGAGCCTGGCGCGCCCGTGACGTCAGGAAGCGAAGGGGCGGGGCGTGAGGAAGGGGCGGGGCCGAACGAGGGCTCCCGCCTTGGAGCGGGAAGGTAAACACGCGGAGAGTTGCATGCACCTGGAACAGAGCAAATGTCCACAAGTCCGCACCAGCGTCAAAAATAACGGGAAAAATAAGTGGAAAGGACAAATCTTCCCTTGAGAAGAATTTTATTTAACACATGTGGCAGGAACGCGGGAAATTGAATATCCCGTGAGCATGTCACTGACAGCAAGACCCGCGGATGGCAGCTCAAAATCACCAACAAAAGTACAAGGAGAAGTAATGAACTGTAAAGTCTCCGATTTCCTCCCTCAAGCTTCTCACTGGTTAGGAAGAGAAGGGTTGTAACTTTCCAGGAAGTTTTAAAAAATAGTAATTAGGGACCTTCCCTAGAGGTCCAGGGTTGAGAATCCAGCCTTTCATTGCAGGAGAGGAGGATCAGACAGACCCTTGGTCGGGGAAATAAGATCCTGCAGGCCACGTGGTGCAGCCAAAAAGTAAAACAATAAATAAATAGAAATTAAAAATAACAATTTTGAGCAGAGAATCACAGCAGACACCAGGTGGATGGAAGGATCGGGGTAACACCTCCCAAGACCTACAGACATCAGGTAGTCCCCACGTGCCCGCTGCGCAAGGCACCTCCATTCTCTCACATTCCAGCCCAAAACGCAAAGCCTCCCTCTCATCGTGAAGGAAATAGTTGACAAACACAAATTGGGGCACATTCTGAAAACTACGCGACCAGCAGTCTCCCAAAGGCAGAGACACGAACAGGAAGAGGGAACAGCTCGGACAGGAAGGCACGGGAGAGCCGACCACAAAACCAAGGTGACGTCTGGGACGGGATCCACATCAGATCCTAAAACAGGAGAAGGACTCCCGTGGAAAACTGGGGAGCCGCCAGCGAGGTCTGGGGTTTAGGGGACAGCCTCACACCCTCCGTAATCACTGCCTCTTGCTGACTGCACTACAATCATGTAGGGATGCTAGGGGAGCCTGGGTGGGGAGCGGTCTACAGAAAATCTCCATTGTTTTGGAATGATTTCAAGTGCAGAGCGCATCTCCTCAGCCACGTTTGCATGCTTGGCCCCTGGCCTGGCCCCAAGCAGCTCCATGTCCCCTCCGGTCCGTCCCCCTTCCCCACCCCCATGCCCCAGCCTCCTCTGGGCGGAGCGCTCCCTCCGAAAGCAGCTCATTCAGGCATGTTCCCAGTGAACAATCCTCCCCAAGAGGAGCACTGATGCCTGAGCATTGCCAAGCAGCCCTCGGAGGACCCCCTCACCCCCTGCCCCTCCAGGGGACCAGCTCCTGGCTCTGGACACCATGCCCTCTAAAGATGACCCCTGCAGTGGGCAGGCATTGCTGCAGCATCGGGCCAACTCCTAGCCACTGGTAAGTCTATCCGTGACTCCCTTGGAGTCAGGCGTCCATTCGTGTCCAGGAGACAGGTCACGTGATACAGACCATAGCAGCCCTTGCATTAAAAATCCTTTTTAAAAAAGCCTGCCCAGATGATTCTACTGTCTCCCATCTCTCTTTTTACCTAACCCCATCTCAAATTTCCTATCTAAAAATTTTTCTGAAGAATTTCCGAGGGCTCCCCCAGCCCCTCTGGGGAACCTCAGAACAGCCCCAACAGCCAGAGGTAGAAAAGAGAAAACCCAGTCACCACCTGGGGCCCCAAGTCCCCATGCTCCATCCAGAAGGGCCCCCTTTGTCTCCAGGAACACCGAGAAACACCCCAGAACTGTGAGCCTCTTGCCCCAGTGCACTCCCCACCCTCAGTGCTCGGAGAAGTGCAGGGCCAGACTCATTTCCATCCAATCAAGGCTGCAGCAGGAGGTATCTGCGAAACACGCTGTCTGACCTCACAGTGGGAAATAGATTAATAAGCCATTATGATAAGCAAGCTGCTTATTAGCTTGAGAATGAGGCTGTGCAGCTAATTGAAGCCATCCAGCAAAATGTCAGCGTCTTCTCGGGTATGAAATATTCATTGCACCCCAGCCCCGACCCGGGAGCTGGGGGTTTGTATGCACCTTTCTTTGTACAGCCAGCGTCAGACGGACTCCTTCCCCTGGGCCAGGCTCAGGGCACAGCGCAGAGCCCCCCACCCACGAGGACAGAGGCCTTCAGAGGGGCATGGGGCTCAGTGACAGGTGTAGCCCTCTTCTTGACCCACTTTAAGAAGAGAGGAGTTCTCGTGAGCATAGGGAGCTTATGCGATCTCATTGCGCAGAGGCCATTTGTCCCTGGGAGCGGGGTTCAGGGTGCCCCTCTTTTGTATTTCAGCTGTGTTCTCCAAAGGGCCTGCGCATCCATTCCACAGCCTGGAGTAGGGCCATTCTTGACCGGAAGCAGCCCTAAGCCCTCTGACCCCTCCCTCCCCCCTGCTCCGCCAGCAGCTAGGAGCCCTCTCCTCCAGCCGGGGTCCTCAGCCAGCTCCCGTCACGGTGGGCATGCAGGACAGGCTGGCCCCCCGTGATGCCCTATCTCCACCGAGCTGAGAGCCAACTGGAGGCCAGGAGCCTGTCCTTCTTAGGGCAAGGGTGTCTCCAGGCGGGATGGCTCTAGGTGACAGGCTCCGGGTGCGAGCAGAGTTCTGGAACAGGAACGCACTTCCCCATGTCCTTCCTCGGGCCCTGCTCCCCGCCTGTGAGCGGGTGGACTCACTGTGCAAGGGAGGCCCTGGGACAGAGCGCCCACGAAGTCGAGGTCTGTGTTACCACGCGCGTCCCAGCTGAGCCCGCGGGGAGCACCGCAGCAGGACCCGCGAACCCCGTCAGAGCAGAGGTGGTCCAAGGCAGGGCTGCTGAGGCCTGCCAAAGGGAGCACAGCGCTTGACCGAGGGGTGTGGGCTGGAGGGGGGCCCAGCCAGTGTGGGGGAGGCATCACTGGGGGCCCAGGGGGGCAGTCCCAGTTCCCCCACGCCTCAGGGCAAGGACCTCGCCAAAGGGACAGGGAGTTTCTCAGTCCCCCTCAATGTGGAAAATATTAATGGCCTCTTAGCTATTGTCATAGCAACCACATTTTTTAAAAAGTATCCAGCCTTCTACTATATGTTAGATGTTGTGAGACTGACATCAATTTTTCCAACACCAACCCAAAGGAAAGGAAAAGAAAGCTGCTCTACACCGTGGCATTTTTTAATTAATGTAAATTAAAATTCCTCTAGTTTGAAGATATTTTAAAGACTGCTGTGACAGCCTGGAGATCATTACTGCCCCCCTGGGGCTGTGGCTGACCCCGGCTGTAACAGCGGCTGCAATCTGCCCACCCTCTGAGACCCCAGTGCACGCCCCCAACCAGGCGTGGGGACAAGGAGGAGTCCCAGCCCCGGGACGGCTGAGGTCGGGACGGATCCGGCCTCTGGGGCGCAGCAGGCGCAGCGCTTATGAAAAGCCAGAAAATACACTTGCCCTTCCGGCGGGTGTCATCGGGCAGCTCCCAGGATCATCTCGCACACGGATGACCTCAAGAGCAGTGTGCCAGGCCAGGACGCCGGGCACCCTCCCCTCGTACTGGGTGACCCCAGGCACAGAAGAGGTCAATCCGGCAACACGGGGGTGGAGTCAAGTCCCAGCGGGCACAGGGCTCCTTCAGGAGGGGAGCAATGTCCTCCAGAGATGGTGGCGCTGGGGCAACGCTGTGAACGCATTAAAATCAGTGAGCTGTATGGCACGTCAGTTATATTTCAATAAAGCTTTATAAGATTACTGCATGATGATGACACATTGTTCTGAAAATAAACACACATACACACACATATACCCTCCGACCTAGCAATTTCCACTTCTAGGAATTTCTCTTAAGGAAATAGGGATGTGCACAGAGATACATAGATGTCTTCATACTTTAAAAAAGGCATTTACATGTCCAGTGAGAGGGCTTTGAATAAATTCCAGTGCACGCATTCACTGGAACGCTGCACATACGGTAACTGACAACAATGTGGCAGAAGCGCATTTGTGGGCGCACATGTGTGTTCATAATAAATTGTGTGAAATTAACAGGTTGCAAACAGTCAGTGTGGAGGCTGTAAAGTGACAGGCCTCACGCACATGGAAGCTGCCACTGAATTATGCAGCCCCTCCAGCTGAGGGGTTTGGGAGGATATTTTCCCTCCTTTTTTCAGTTTTCAGGATTGTCCGGCTTTTCTGTGTTGACCCATGTTGCTGGGGCAATACACCAATAGGGTTCTTTCTTGGGGATGGCCAGAGGGAGGGAAGTCAGGAACCCAGGGGCGTAGAAGGACGGTGTAGTTTGAGCAGACCAGGTCCTTTGGGAGGGGGCAGCCTCCTCGGCTCAGAGGACTGGGCACCTGGACAACACCCGCCCCTCTGACCCTCAGTTGGGCATAAAATCTATGACAAACCCCCCTGGGCTCCGGCTCCCACGCTGAGCCCCAGAGGCAGCCGCCCAGGAAGCGGCCAGCCGGGGGTGCAGGAAGCCCCTCCTCACCCGGGAGGATGAGCTCAGGCCCCAGCCAGCAGGCTGGGCCTGCCCCCAGCGTTACCTCATGCCAGTCAGCATCAAGGATCACTGGCCTGGGAGAGCCAGTCTGGGCCCACCAGCGGCTGGATGGAGCTCCTCCCATCCCAGCGCTCCGCTGGGTTTGGGAAGCCTGGGCCTGAGCAGAGCTGACCGTGCCATCTGCCCCCCCGAGGGAGAGGGAAGCCTGGTGCAATCACAGCAACATGCAAGGCCTGCATGACGTGCCCCCCAGCGCGCCCCGCGCCCCCACCCCTCCACGGCCTGCCCGGGTGCAGCAGGACCACCCCGGGCACCAGCCCGTGGGCTCAGCGGCCGAACGCTCCGTCGGGACAGGGGCAGGGCTGCTGCAGAGGGACAGCGCGGCCCAGTTACGCCCACGACACCAAGTGAGCACGCGCCAAGTGCTCTGATGGGCTCTCACACCACAGAGAATAAGCCCTATCAGTTTATTGCCCCAGCAACACGGGTCAACACAGAAAAGCTGGACGATCCTAAAAACTGAAATAAGGAGGGAAAGATCCTCCCAAACCCCTCAGCTGGAGGGGCTGCATAATTCAGTGGCAGCTTCCGTGTGCGTGAGGCCTGTCATTTTACAGCCTCCACACTGACTGACTGCGACCTGTTAATTTCACACAATTTATCATGAACACACACGTGTGTCAGTAAATGCGCTTCTGCCACATTGTTGTCAGTTACCGTATGTGCAGCGTTCTAGTGAATATGTGCACTGGAATTTATTCAAAGCCCTCTCACTGGACATGTAAATGCCTTTTTTAAAGTATGAAGACATCTATGTATCTATATGCACACCCTATTTCCTTAAGAAAAATTTCTCACACCAGCGGGGCACCCGCCCTTACAGAGGAGGAGACCAGGGCTCAGGAAGGTCGTACCCCAGCTAGTGATCAACTGGGGCCCAGGCGTCAGTCTCCCTGAGTCGGGAAGTGTGCGCCAGGCTCACTGCCGAGGGTCTGGGATGCCAGGGTCGGGCTGCCCACCAAGCACGCAGGGGCCTCCAGGCTGGGACGGGGGCTGTGCTCCATTCCCCGGGAGGCGGGGAAGAGGCTCCATCTGGACAGCTGATGGAGCAGGCAGGCAGGGCCTGGTGGTCACGCCCAGGGCAGCGTGGGGTCTCCAGGAGCCCCTTGCTGGACGGGCCTATGCCCTCAGGGAGGAGGGTTAGGGGTGGCCTGCCGCCGGGAGACGGCCTGGGCCAGCCCTACTTCCCAGGAGACGTGGCTGGAGCCGGGCGGAGGCCCCCTGTAAGGAGGTACCTGGGGACAGGGTGCTGCAGTGAAGGTGCAGCCGCTGAGGCGCCGCTGGTCACATGGTGGGGCCAGGCGTGGTCTCAGGGGCCAGGCCAGCCTCGCAGAGCTGCCCCGACCTGAGGCGGGAGGGACTGGCTTCCTTGCCACCTGTGTCTGCTCGTCTTTGGCACAGGCCCTGGGGGGCCTGGGAGGCCTAGCACGGAAGGCGGCTGCCGTGAGCAGGTGCGAACAGCGGCTGGACTGCCGGGCCAGAAGAGCAAGCCTGGGAGGGCGCAGAGCACAGTCAGGGTTGGGGCAGCCCCATCCGCCCAGAGAGGGCTGAGGTCAAGGCCAGACCTCCTCAGCTCCCACCTGCCGTAGGCCAGGGACGAGCCCTCCTGGTCCCGAGCCCGAGTTCACGGTGGGGGCCCCTCCGGGCTGTGGCTGCCAAGCCCCAGGACCTGGCGGGCTTGTGGCTCCCTCTCCAGTTACAGACGTCAAATCTCAGGGCACCACCTGGGTCCCTTTTCAGGGGGAGCCAACGCAGGGCAGGGGGAGGGGCCGGGCCCCTTCCTCCCCAGACCCCCGGCAGGACCTTCCCAGATGCAGCCCCTCCCGGGAGATCGCTGCGTTCATAAGAACAGCGCTTTTCTCTCCTCAAAGATACCGGAGCTTGTCGGGGCTAGACTGTGCCTTGTTGCTCAGTCGTGTCCAGCTCTGCGGCCCCGTGAACTGTAGCCCACCAGGCTCCTCTGTCCATGGGATTCTCCAGACAAGAATACTGGAGTGGGTTGCCATGTCCTCCTCCAGGGGGTCTTCCCAACCCAGGGATCGAACACAGGTCTCCCTCATTACAGGCAGATTCTTTACCATCTGGGCCACCAGGGGGAATCCAAACCACCCAGCTGAGCAAAGAGGAAAAGTCTCCTCAAAACTCCACCCAGTTCAAACCTTCTGCTCTTGGATGCCGGCCTCCCTGGGTCCACCTTCAGGTTTGCAGACAGAGATTCTAGAAGCCCAGACTGGCATCCATGCTCCCAAGGTCTGTGTGTCTCACGGGGCAGTGTGCAGTCTGTGACGCCCAGTACAGGTGAGCCTGCAGCCTTTCCAGTCACAGGTGTCAAACCTCAGGGCACCCCTGGGTGCTGGGGCCTCTGTGTGTGGGGTCACCCCCCACACTGAGAGTGCAGGAGGACCCAGAGAGGAGGGCGCCAGGACAGAGCCTACAGGACCCCCGAGTGAGTGCAGGGAGCCCCCAGGCCTTGGTGTCCTGGCCCGGGAGGCGGGCTTTGTTAGCACAGCCGCGACCATGAGACGGCTAAGTGGGAAAGCTCTCGGGGCCGGCGGGACGGCAGCGGGGGAATGGGGGCAGAGGAGGCAGAGGCGGCCCAGCTGCAGTAACTTCTTGCTCAATCAATAGCCATTTCCCAGCTCCAAATTACTTTCTTTTCCCCCTGAAACCATCAGAGGCTGCAGCTGCCGATCAGCTGTGACACTTTAAAGAAATGCTATTGGAAGTTCCAGGCCCGAGAGGGTTCTCCCGACCCCGGGTTTGCTCGGCCGCCCCCAGCAGTGTCATGGAGAGGACAGGCGGCGAGAGAGCCGATGGGCTGGGCTGAGCAGCTTGGCTGCGTGGGGACCCCAGGGTCCCCACAGCAGCCTGGGGGGCCTCCAGGCAGTGGCGGATGGGGCCAGACTTCAGCATCAATCCGTCCCTCCCTGGTGGACCTGACCTTTAATGTGCCCATTCTGCGTGCCCAGGCGAGCAGAGACGACGGGGTAAGTGTCCTACTCTCCAGGAGCAGGGGGATGGCAGGCCACGCAGAAGTCACGCTCGGAGGGGCGAACATAACCAAGCTGGGTCCGAGTGCTCACTGCATGAGGGAGGCCATCTGGGGCACCCTGGGCCCCCGGCATGGACTAAGAGAGCCTTCAGCTGACTCTTCCTGTGGTGGGAACACGACTTGTTGTTTTCGCCATCTGACTTTGTGCCCAAATGGATTGTAGCCCACCAGGCTCCTCTGTCCATGGGGTTTTCCAGGCAAGACTACTGCAGTGGGTTTCCATGCCTTCCTCCATGGGATCTTCCTGACCCAGGGATCAAACCTGCATCTCTGCATCTCCTACACTGCAGGCGAATTCTTTACCGCTGAGTCACTGAAGAAGCTAGGAACATGTCTCATCTGCTCCCAACTGCAGTGGATTGAATGGGGTTTCTCAAAGGTTTCTTCATGTCCTCACCCCTGGAACCCAGGAATGTAACCTTGTTTGGAAAGGTCTTTGCACATGCAATTAAGTTAAAGATCTTGAGATTAGAAGGTCATCCTCAATTAGACAGTCAGTTCAGTTCAGTCGCTCAGTCATATCCGACTCTTTGTGACCCTGTGGACTACAGCTCGCCAGGCTTCCCTGTCCATCACCAGCTCCCAGAGCTTGTTCAAACTCATGTCCATCGGGTCAGTGATGCATCCAACCATCTCATCCTCTGTCGTCCCCTTCTCCTTTTCCCTTCACTCTTTCCCAGCATCAGGGTCTTTTCCAATGAATCAGTTTTTCACATCAGTTGACCAAAGTATTGGAGCTACAGCTTCAGCAGCAGTCCTTCCAATGAATATTCAGGACTGATCTCCTTTAGGATGGACTGGTTGGATCTCCTTGCAGTCCAAGGGACTCTCAAGAGCCTTCTCCAACACCACAGTTCAAAAGCATCAATTCTTCCGTGCTCAGCTTTCTTTATGGTCTAGCTCTCACATCCATACATGACCACTGGAAAAACCATAGCTTGGCCTAGGTGGACCTTTCTCAGTAATGTCTCTGCTTTCTAATATGCTGTCGAAGTTGGTCGTAGCTTTTCTTCCAAGTAGCAAGCATCTTTTAGTTTCGTGGCTGCGGTCACCATCCGCAGTGATTCTGGAGCCCAAAAAAATAAAGTCTGTCACTGTTTACATTGTTTCCTTATCTATTTGCCATGAAGTGATGGGACTGGATGCCATGATCTTAGTTTTTTTAATGTTGGATATTTTTTTTTTTAGTTATACCACTTTATTGCTACCAACCCATCTCCCTCCACCCTCGTGCACACATGCTCAGTCATGTAATCCCATGGACTTCAGCCCTCCAGACTCCTCTGTCCATGGACTTTTCCAGGCAAGAATACTGGAGTGGGTTGCCATTTCCTTCTAGATTAATGTTGGATTTTAAGCCAGCTTTTTCACTCTCCTCTTTCACTTTCATCAAGAGGCTCTTTAGTTCCTCTTCTCTTCAGCATATCTGAGGTTATTGATATTTCTCCCAGCAATCTTGATTCCAGCTTGTGCTTCATCCAGCCCAGCGTTTCTCATGATGTACTCTGCATGTAAGTTAAATAAGCAGAGTGACAACATACTTGACGTACTCCTTTCCCAATCTGGAACCAGTCTGTTGCTCCATGTTCAGTTCTAACTATTGCTTATTGACCTGTATACAGATTTCTCATGAGTCAGGTAAGGTAGTCTGGTAGTCCCATCTTTTGAAGAATATTCCACAGTTTGTTGTGATCCACAGTCAAAGGCTTTGGCATAGTCAATGAAGCAGAAGTAGATGTTTTTTGGGAATTCTCTTGCTTTTTCTATGATCCAACTGATGTTGGCAATTTGATCTCTGGTTCCTCTGCCTTTCCTAAACCCAGCTTGAACATCTGGAAGTTCTTGGTTCACATACTACTGAAGCCTAGCTTAGAGAATTTTGAGCATTACTTTGCTAGTGTGTGAGATGAATGTGTGTGCAGTGGTTTGAACCTTCTTTGGCACTGTCTTTCTTTAGGATTGGAATGAAAACTGACCTTTTCCAGTCCTGTGGCCACTTCTGAGTTTTCCAAATTTGCTGGCACGTTGAGTACAGACATCCTGCAGTCTGAAGTCAAGTGGGCCTTAGGAAGCATCACTATGAACAAAACTAGTGGAGGTGATGGAATTCCAGCTTAGCTATTCCAAGTCTTAAAAGATGATGCTGTTAAAGTGATGAACTCAATATGCCAGCAAATTTGGAGGTGTTTGCTATGACCAATGCATTCTCTTGGCAAAACTCTGTTAGCCTTTGCCTGCTTCATTTTTTACTCCAAGGCCAAACTTGCCCATTCCTCCAAGTATCTCTTGACTTCCTACTTTTGCATTCCAGTCCCCTAT